CCTCAGCACCACATAAGCAAAAAGAAAAAAGCCAAAAGTGGCACTGTGGCTCAAGTGATAGAGCGCTAGCCTTGAGCTGAAGAGCTGAGGGACAGCGCCCAGGCCCAGAGTTCAGGCCCCATGACTGGACCAAAAAAAAGAAAAAAAAAAAAGAAAAAAAAGAAGCACTAGAGTATTACTCAAGAATTGTTTAACCTCAGGATGAATTTGCACTCAGTTTTATTAGCTATTGCCAAAGTATCGTACACAATCTTATACAACTTCTACCACTGGGAAATGATCTTCATTAAGACTTGATATTAATGCAGTCCAGGCAAATGCATTATTCACACCGGTCAGCTGAGACCTGGGAATGAATGGTGATTAATTTTCTAGTCGCATTTGGAATTCTGTAGTGTAAATATGGAGTAACACCTCTTCCAACAATGATCTTATTTGAAAAAAAAAAAAGATTTGATAGTAGCCAGGCATTTGTGGCTCACATCTATAATCCTAGCTACTCAAGAAGATGGGATTGAGGGTCGAGGTTCAAAACCAGCATGGTAGAAAAGTCTGTGATACTCTATTTCCAAGCTAACCTGCAACAAACAAACAAAATCCCCTCAAAATGAACTCAGTAGTAGAGCCCCATCTTTGAGCAACAAAGCCAAATGAAAGCATAAGGCTCTGAGTTCAAGCTTTGGTACTAGCACAAAAATAAATAAATACATAAATTTGATATTGGCCAACTTTAATATTAGTCAGTCTTATGTGTGAGGTATTTCTGATGACTCACACAATTCTCTCCTAATTATAGGTGGAGTCTGATCCTTTTTTATCTTCTTCTTGTCCACACCTCTTGCTCATTTTTTTATTGAACTACTTTTTTGTTATTCACTATGTTGAAGACATAAAATGAGTATATATACATATTTTTTTTAGATGCAAATCATTTATATATTCTCAAGTTTATGACTTGGTTTTTCATTCTCATCAAATATCATTAAATGAGCATCGTTCTTTCCCATTTATGTTATTTATTAAAACAAAATATAGTTCTTTTATTATTATTTTTATTACAAACTTATAGACTTATCAAGATAAATAAACACAAATCCATGTTGAAGACAAAAGTAGTACATAACATAGATAATTAGAAGAATTTGTCTGGGGCCCAAAGTCATTAAGGGTGGAGCTGCTTTGCAGAAAATCTTTTTCCTTTTCCCTGTTTCTTTACTCATGGTGCCCAGTTACTGTAAAGTGCAAGGTTTTCCAAAACCAAAGGCTCCAGAGGGTTAGCACAGATTGGTTGTTTTTAATAGTATACTTGAAATGAAATGTCAGTTTAAACCTCTTCCTTCTTAAATGTGCTAAACACATCTCAAGTTAATAGGCCCATTAAAGGGGAAAAGCAAGCAACATTACAAATGTAATTAGCTTGAGAGAAAGAAGGAAAGGAAGAGGGAAAAGGAAGGAAAGGAAAAGGAAAAATTGCACCGAAAGCTGCGAATGCCTAGTGTGAAAACCAAACCAAACGAGCCAAATATATGAAACACTGATTTCCAGTGTATGAAATGAATGCATCCTGTCATTGTCGGGCAACAGCTGCTTGGAGAGACCCCCAGGTCAGCACGCATGGCTGGCCGCCAGGGCAAACTCTGCTTCATAGGATTCTTCCTTGAAGGAACCATAGGTCAGTTAGAACTGCCACTCTGGTGGCAGAGTTCTCAGGCTACAGAACACGGAGAGCTACCCACAGAAATTCTCTCTCTCTTTCTCCATCTTCCTTTTCTTCCCTTGGTACTGGGGGGTTGAATTAAGAGCCTTAAGGTGCTCTACCACTTGAGCCCATGCCCCTAGCCCTTTTCGATTTAGTTATTTTGCTCAAACAGGTCTGTTACCTACACCTCCTCCGTAGCAGAAATGGCAGGAACCCACCTCCCTATCTACCTTTTTGTTGTTGTTGGGACAGGAGTCTCAATACCTCTTTGCCCAGGCTGGCCTTGAATTGAGATTCTACCTTTATGTAGCTGGGATTGCAAGCATGAACCATCCCTCTCAGCCTGCAAGCTAAACTTTTAAGATGCTCCCTTCCCGGTCCTTAAATGGTCCTTGCAGTGGTAGGAGCAACTATCTCCTGGACAATTTTGTGCAAAGCTCTTGGATCTTTGAAGCGCGCGAGGCACAATGTGCAGCGACTCAACTCCGTGGTCACCAATTTCCTTGACTACAGGTTTGTGGAATGTGGCCTGGTACTCTGACTAATCGTCTGGCCCTCTTAAAACAACAGGTGCATCCCCAAACCGGAAAGACCTGAACTGCAAGGTTGCCCTAATGGCGTGGGTGACTGCTACCTGCAGAGCGCACTGCTCTCCCTCTGGGAGTGTTTCCTGCCTGCAAATGCAAGCCTGCACGTGTATACAGAGGGTTACAATGGGTATGTGCACAAATAGACTAAGTGAAACATGGTGCCTGGTGCGGCGGAGGGCGAATTCCAATGAACAACTAGCTTACCGTTTAAATAAAATGAATCCCAGGGAGCTGGCACTTGTGTGGTCAGGGGTGGGTGAGGACAAGGGGGTGGCAGATGACAGTAGTACGCATGTGAAGGTACACATGTGAAGAATGGAGCCCCATAACTTAAGGGGGATGGATGGGGTTGGGAGAGATGGGGAAGAATGATAGAAGAGGTGACGTCGATCAAGATGCATTGCGCCACCAAACTGACACGCGGGACTGAAACCCCTTTGCACAAGTACTTCAAGATAATAAGGTAGAAAAACAAGAATGCAAGCCCTCACTCCAGAACTCCCGGGAATGGACACCTCGTCTGGCCAATGGACGAAGAGGTACTGCAGGCTTCCGGTCCTCATTGGACAATTTTGGCAGCGGGGGCGGGGCCAGTTAAGGAGAAAAGCCACCAGCTAGGATGTAATGGGCTCCACCTCAGATCAAAGGCCCGACCCCAGGGCGAGGAGTGCAAACTCCACACCCTATTTACCTGGCGACCTGGCCCCAGGGCTCGCAGTATCTGTCCACAGCCGGCTTCCCTTGTCTGGATGAACCTTGAGCAATCACTTTCCCCTTGCGTCTTCTCCGGGTGTGTCCCCCGGTCCCCGGCCCGGGAGCAGGAGACATCCGGGGCTTTCCGGGCTTTTCCGCAGGCTCTGATTCTGCACTCGAGCTGCGGGGAAATCCTTGGGGCGCCAGGCGCTGCACCTGCTGCCTTTCCGCGGCCGGGGAGAAGCGAGGCCGGGGAGAGTGAGACTCCGCGGACCCGCCTGCTCGCGGCTCCTGCCCGGGAGCGCTCGCTGCAGATGCGCTCTGGGGCGATGGGTGTAGTCCCGCGCGTTGCCTGAAGATGGCGCCAGAGGCACGGGCTTCCTTGGAAAAAGGTAGCGCGCTTGGGGGGCAAAAGCCGGGCAGGTAAAGATTGACGACAGCCAGGAAAGCCCGGAGCAACCCAGTCTTTAAGCACCGGCAGCAAAGAGCACAGCGTCCTTTTCAGGACTCTGCGTGCTTGGCGCTGCATGAAGGCATCGAGGCTGGGTAGATTTGCTGGCGCGTCCCCAGGGCACACCTGTTAGCTCCAGACTGCAAAACCAAAGCAATTGTCTTGTCAACTAGTCTTCATTTGGGCTAGCTCAGACCCCACTCACTCGTGTCTCTGCTAATTTGCCTCTCCAGCAACTCTTGAGTCCTGCGAGTTTTGTGGATAGTTGGGGGGCAGTGCCGGCCCTGTACTTTTCATTTACCAACAGGTAAATATTGCATGGCATGGACCCTAGGAAACTGCTGGGTGAAAGAAGACGCGAAGAGAGGAACAGGGTGAGAGAAAGCCTTCCTGCAGTCGCCACGGAAGTGCCCTCTGGCATCACCCACTTGAACCACAGCCTGACTTCCGGCTTTTTGCTGGTGAGTGGGACGGGAGAGTCTCTTGGGTTTGTACTGCCTAGTCTGACTTTGAACCTTGATCCTCAGATCTCAGCCTCCCAAGTAGCTAGGATTACAGGAAATGTAATCCTAGCTTCACCCGTATGTGTTAATACGCTGAGCATCTGGCTATATTTATGTGTGCTATAATTAGTATACTAACAGGTTGTTAGGCACACTCAATTTCTATTTATTTATTTAGGTAAAAGTGAGTGCAAATGGACGATGGAATATTTTCTTTGTTCTGAAGTAGTTCCTGAAATACTTCCTCATTCTAGAACTCTCTACCCTCTGGTATGAATTAGGCTCTCTCCTTTCATTCTTCAGTTTTCAAAAGTCAGGTTTACAGAGTGGCCGCTCTGACCCCTTCTTAGAAAAGTATCTCCATTTTCCCTCTCTCTTTTTAAAAAAATCCTTTTATTCTCTTTTACTTTTGTGTATTGTAACTCATCACTGTGTAGGAAGTATGATTCTGTGGGGTTTTTTTTATTGCTTAGTTTCTGTCTCCCTGCTCTGAAATGCAAGTTTTAAGAGGGGCAGGAAGGCATTCTGAAAGCTGAGCACAGCAAGTGCTGGGTCACAAGGCAAAAGGGAAGGAGCAAGGGTGAGAACCTTGTCCAACACGTCCTGAAATCCCCTTTCTTACTTCTGAGAAAGGTGTCAGAATCAAATTGGACTCATTTGTGCCAGGCCCTAAGAACAAAAGCAAATAAGTAGATCTGGGAGGCGTGGAAGGAACAGGATTCTTTGCACGTACGCCTGATAACGTGAACTCTCACAAATGTTTCTTTTAGAGCCACAATCTCACCCAGATGTCATCTCACACAGAAAGTACTTTTCTTCAACTGTCCGGCTAGTCTTGGCCTCACATCAACTTTGTTATTGAGCCTTCTAGCCAAGGGCAATTGTTTCAAAAGAACTTCTGTACTTCTTCATTTTACCTTTCAAAACTCTCTTCCTGGTCTCCCTCTTCTTGAATATACATGTAATTTATTATGGTCTGCATACACCCACTATAATGTCTAGTCTCAAATGAATTTGACACCATTGGAGAATCTCTTTATTTGTTAATTAGGTTGGCAGTTTGGACATTCTTTTAGTCTCAGGTCTAGGATTACTGATGTTTTCTCTCTATTCCTAACAGTCTTGGAAAAGGCATCATGGTGATAAAGCCAGAGTTACTCTTTTTGATGTCTCGGCTGCTAAATATTCTAGATGTTTTCTTTTCTTTCTGACTTTCAGTGGGGAATGGTAATGTTCATGGCCCACCCTCACAGATAGAAAAGGTAAAATTCAAGTACACATAGCCTCTGCCATGACTCATTGTTTATCTTTCTATTTTCTATCTTCTTGCTTTGGGTAATTGTTGGCGTGAGGGAGTGTCCTGGACTAGGAGTCTGGATTTGCTTTAGAGAACAAAAAGTAAGTATGCTGAGTGTGTGTGTACACTTGTAATCCTAGTTGTTCAGGAGACTGAGCTCTGAGGATCGTGATATAAAGCCAGGTAGAGCAGAAGAATCTGTGAGAGGGTCACCTCCAACTAACTATCAAAAAGCCAGAAATGGCACTGTGGTTCAAAGTGGTAGAGCACTAACCTGGAGCACAAAAGCTGGACAGTGCCCAGGTCCTGAGTTCAAGCCTTGGAACTGGTATACACACACACACACACACACACACACACACACACACGTAAGTGGAACACTCAAACACTCTAGTCTGACTCCACCCAACCATTCACCGGAGAGCCACTGACACTTGGGAGTTGATTCTGACACAAACGTACTCAAATGATGCTCTCAACTAAAAGAAGAGTCTTGCAAAAGTTGTTGCTCTCTCTGGGATGTAAGGAGACCATTTTAAGAAACCTACATTTGAGTATGGAGGTTATTTACCTCGTGGTCCAGAATTGGGTTTCCGGATGTATCATGAATAGCAACAACATCCACCCCTGAAGAGTTCACAGATCCGCCAGACCAAGAGTGAAGCATCAGATGCAGACTCCTCCCTGCACTGAACACACCCATGCCAGCCTTTTCTCCAGTGGCCAAGAGCATGCCTTGCCCGGGCTGGGCCTGAAGGCTGCACCTGTGTCATCATGGTGCTCGTGATGAGAGGGTGTGTGCTCCCCCAGCCCCTGTCATGTGCTGCGTCACCTGACAGCGTCAGGTTGCTGGTTAACCAATCGAATCCCTCATAGCTAAACGTCATTTTCTTATTAACTTCAGAACTTGAAGCAGTTAATTACCTTATTTTTTTTCCAACCACAGTTTCTTCATGCATTTATGGGGGAAAATAAAAATTTGATCAACTGAAGCTAGGGCTGCAGGACCTTGGTCCCTGGGAAACTAGCAGCATAGGTGACATAGACTGTGTTCTGTTCATACATGACACTCCATTGGGAGAGCACACAGCGCAATCTGTGAACAGACGCTGTCTGTGAATCAAGAGCGGTTCTTAACTGTATTCTGTGAATACAGTTATTATAAAGAAAGATTTGGGCCAGGTTGTAGACACACACACACATTATATATACATATAGAAAATCCCAATTATCCATATTATATATGAGTTAGATATAATCTCAATGATATGTATAATCTCAGTTATATACCTATACATGATACATATAAAATCCCAATGATAAAATCTCATATGTATATATACATATATCTATATACATAGAAATATGTATATTTATGTAATATCAGTTACTGTGGAGGTATAATTGTTGATTCTGAAATCTCAGAGGGCTTGGGGCAAAATAAACCTAGGTTTAGCATTTCAGCTCAATCTCCTTACTTTTTGTATGACCTAAGCCAGGAAAGATAGCAATGTGTACATTTATGTATTGCATACTAAATCTTTGTGTGTGTGTGTGTGTGTGTGTGTGTGTGTGTGTGTGTGTGAGAGAGAGAGAGAGAGAGAGCGAGAGAGAGAGAGAGAACTTGAGCTCAGGGCCTTAGCCCTATCCTTTGCTCCAGGCTAGTGCCCTACCACTTGAACCACAGCTCCAGGTCTGGCTTTCTGGTGGTTAAATAGAGATAAGAGTCTTGGGGCTGGGAAAGTGGCTCAGTGGTAGAGTGCTTGCCTTGCATGCCTGAGGCCCTGGGTTCGATTCCTCAGCACCACATAAGCAAAAAGAAAAAAGCCAGAGGTGGTGCTGTGGCTCAAGTGGTAGTGCTAGCCTTGAGCTGAAGAGCTGAGGGACAGCGACCAGCCCAGAGTTCAGGCCCCACAACCGGACCCCCCCCCCAAATAAAAAAGAGTCTCAGTGGCTTTCCTGCACAGTCTGGCTTTGAATTGTGATCCTTAAATCTCAGCCTCCTGCATAGCTAGGATTATAGGTATGAGCCACCAGCACCTGGCTACTTGGTCTTTGATAACAATGCATTATTATTCAGACTTTCTATGATCTTGTGGAAAAGGGAATAAAAATGCTTCACTCTCTAGGTAATGAAGCTGGGTTCAGAGAAATGCCTATGATCAAACTGGTAGTAAGACTAGTAGAATCCAACTAACTTGAATTCAAGTGAGACAGTGGTTTAATTAGCATATCACCTCCTCCAGGCTCCTGAGTTAGTGTTTCTCAGACTAGTGTCTGTAAATATTAATGTTCACTCATGAGATTGTGCTAATGGATAACATTTACTAATGGAAGACAAAAGGAATTTTGTTTGTAGTCAGGAAGCTGAGATGTGAGGATCTCAGTTCAAAGCCAGCCTGCACAGAGAGACTCTTATCTCCAATTAACCAGCCAGAAGCCAAAAGTAGAGGTGTGGTTCAAGTGGTAGAGCACCAGTCTTGAGCCAAAAGTCCACGCGGGAACATAAGGCCCCGAGTTTAAGCACAAGTATAGCACAAAAATAAAAAAGAAGATATTTGGTTTGATATGCTCTTGAATCTGTGGCTATTTACCCTTTAGCATTTCAAGATGCTGTTTCTTTTGTTTTCTGGATCATATTATGTATCTTCTGGGTGTCAGCCATTGTTTATACTGTGATTCCCCTGTGCAATGCGCCATGCTTCCTCACATTGCTTTGAGTGTTTCTCTTTATATTTGCTTTTTTTCAATAGTTTCCTTATGGTGTGTCTAGGTGTGTGATTTGCTTCCTATTCCTTCAGCCTTCAGTCAAAGAAAATGATAGGATCCCAGTCTTTCTAAATCAGTAGTTTACAAATGGAGGGAGAAAGAAATCCCGTGCTGAACATCAGATAGGAAACATCACCAGCTCTTGCTTCTGCTGCAGCCACTTGAGGGAGGAGAGGGAGGAAAAGGGGTGTTGGTTATGGAGATCCACCCCCCTCCCAGCTAACTCTTGGTCATCTGCTTTCACAGTTCAGAGGTGTTGAGCAAGGGTGGGGTCTATGGCATCAGAAAGCAGACCAGGACTTACGCAATGAGCCTCAGAATGCTCTGACAGGTCCCTGCCAACTGGTCAACATTACAGTTCTCCTTGAATACGGGGCCCTGTGGGAAACTGGCATAGTTTGATGCATGGATGAGGACTTGAACACAACAGGTTTCCAGAGCAACACAGATCAAAGTTACATAGGTAAGTTCACCTTTCAGAACCAGCCTACTGCAAGGGGATAGCTCATTTTCTGGAACATTCTTCTGCTTCTTGTCTTTAGAGACCTCTGTAGAGACTGAATTAGGAGATGGCTTCTCAGGTGAGACTAAAGACAAGATCCTCTGGGACCTGTCATCTCTTTGTCTCCTTATGGATTTAGGAAGAATCAAAATAATTCCTTTAGCTGTAGTTAGGAATTTCTGAATTTGTTCGTGCTAGGAGTTATGCCAAGGGTAAAGGAAGTTCTTCCTTTTTGAAAACTTTGCATTACACAGAGCAGCTATGAGTTCCCATGAGAAATTGGTTGTTGTAGTGGAAAAAGCAAGTTTTATTTTGAATTACTAAGTATGATGGGATTTGGGAGCTTGCTGTCCGTAGCTGAGTGACAGAAAATGTAAGAGCACCCAGGCAGAGAATTCTGGTTCCAGTGACATTTATTTAATGTTAGATGTTCTGTCTTAAGTAATCTTCTGTGAGCATCCTAAGGTAATCAGCTTTTTCCTTTGCTTCCTGATATCTAGGACAATCAAGTGTTCTCTTTGTTTTGTTTTACATATATGTAATTTTATTTTAGTTAAGGTGTGTGGCCTCCAAATGTTAGTACAGGAAATGTTAAGTTTAAACATAGTAAGATAAACCCCCTAAGACAGAAATTCAGAACATCAAAACCTTGATTATTGCACCTATTTTCCTATAGAAAAATTTAATTTTTTTTACATCAAAATCTTCCTCCTAAATGAACAGACAGGTTGCAAAATATACAACAAGCTTTTTAAATATATTTTTTATTGTAAAAATAGTGTACAGAGGGGTTATAGTTACATGAGTAAGGTAATGAGTACATTTCCTATCGAGCATTGTTATCTCCTCCTTTGTTTTTCCCCTACCATCCCTTCCCACCTCCCCAACTCCTCCCTCCCCCCACCAAAGTTGTAAAGTTCATTTTCAACATAGTGTCTTGTATATCTCATTGTTACAATAGGTAAGCCTGTATTCTTATTTCAGCATTTGCAACCAACTTTTTTTGTGAAATGATATACAAAATATTAATGTGCAATGAAATTTGATTTACTATCATCATGAAAAAAAGACCCTCCACAATCATTTTCTGTATGCTTTATAAAACGGTTATAAGCATCTATTTCATAAATATTTCCAGTGCAATTTAGTCAGTGACAAAAATACAAAGCTATCCTTTATTCTTTGTTGATTTTACAACATGCCTTGGTACTGCTAAACAGAAATAGCACTGTTTGGGAGCTGAGCTAATCAAACATTTCAAAACCAATGTCTCCTGACCAACATTAGCTGACATACTATACAGCCGCCCACCATCACTGGGGGTCTGTACTGTTGTAAGTGAAGGAAGTTCAACACGGACTCAAGTGCTCTCCTTAAAGTTTCAATAGAACTGAGTAAATTCTATCAAACAACCCACATACCGAGGATATGAAAAAAACCCCACTGAGCATGAATTTCAAAATACTCATCCATAATGACACTATCGTTTTAAGTATTTCTTTCTGATTCTGTTTTATTTCTATGTAGGTAATATCTATAAATGTGCACAAAATAACTTAAACCTTGTGTAATTGTTCCTAGAGATATTTTTCTTTATTTTCCCACTCTGAATACATTCCAGGAACTAGAATAGCTCTTTCAAAGGATTTAAAGTATGGTTGCTGCTGTTTTTCCCTAAGACTTTGCTCATTTTGAACACTGGCAACCCGCCAAAATGTGCTGGCTCCCTTGGCTTGTCTCAGTTTTTAGTCAAAAGCACTAGTTGAGGGCTGGGAAGGTGGCTCAGTGGTAGAGTGCTTTGCCTAGCATGCATGAGGCCCTGGGTTTGATTCCTCAGCACCACATAAGCAAAAAAAGCTGGAAGTGGCGCTGTGGCTCAAGTGGTAGAGCACTTGCCTTGAGCTGAAGAGCTGAGGGACAGAGCCCGGGACTCACAACCACCACCACTACCACCACCACCAACAACAACAAAAAAGCACTAGTTGACAAAAACTGTTTCTATTTCAAGATGTGTGGACATAAGCAGAAGTTTGTGCTGAATGGACTGGACAATGTTACACCTTCATTATTCTGACCTCAAACTCTAACTTACTTCTTATTTTTAACGTAGGTTGTTTTGGAAAGGCATTTTGACATGTCAAAATACTCTTTAGAAATGTTACATTTCAACTGACATGAGACTTTTGAAGGTTGAAACAGGGCAGGTGCTTCTATTCTAGTAAATATTCTCATGTCCTTTAATAGATGGACTTGGAGTGATACTTACTCTTTAGGGGCTGCCACAACCCAGCATCACAAAAGGGCTGATTTGTAAACAACAGAAATGTATCTCAGTTCTGGGGGCTGGTCAAAGGGCTAGCAGGATATATGTCTGGCAATAGTGAGTTTGTTTTTTTTTTCGGTCATGGGGCTTGAACTCTGGGCTTGAGTGCTGTCCCTGTGCTCTTCAGCTCAAGGTGAGCGCTCTACCGCTTAAGCCACAGCACCACTTCCAGTTTTCTAGTGGTTAATTGGAGATAAGAGTCTCATGGACTTTTCTGCCCAGGCTGGCTTTGAACGGTGATCCTCAGATCTCAGCCTCCTCAGTAGCCAGGATTACAGTTGTAAGCCACCAGCCCCTGGCAATAGTGAATTTTGTGACTCAGAAATAGATAGATGGTGTCTTCTTGTACTCGCCAAGGTATGTCCTCACATACTACTCCTTCAACCTCCCTCGATATATCACCTTCTCAGGAGTTAGCATTTTAGCACAGGAACTGAGGGAAGACACAGGCATTCAGATCACAGTTTCCTTGTGGAACACATGAATCTATGACTCTTTGCAATGAGCAGGTGACATGACTAAATAACTGCTTATGTTAGTCCAAATCCTTGATGTATGTCCTAACCAGAGGAATTTGTAAGCTTACAAGAGGAACGATCATCCTTTGGTCCAAGGTTTCTAATAAAAGTCTAGAGATTACAGAAAAGAGCACTATTAGTTCTGTGTGAGTGGAGTTCTCATGGGAGGAGTCAACCAGACAACAAGTGGTATTCAATTAGGACATTGTGAAAGATTAAAACCAAGGGTTGGAAGGTAGTATGGAAGTAGAGATTAAATAAAATGAAGAGAAATCAGAGGTGGGAAAACAGGTATTGTGTTTAGGATTTGTTCTGTGGTCTTGTGTGGAGACAAACAAGGGAGATGCCTAGACCCAATCTTTGCAGTTGAAATGTTTCTGACAAGGGATTTGGAGATATAGAATACTTGTTTAACATGTGCAATGTCCTGGGTAAAGATCTCCAGTACTGCATAAAACATTGCTCACAAAAACGATGTGAATTTTATCAGGCTCTAGCCTACAGCCCACTGCATAGAGTAAAGAAGCAACTTCCTTCTCAGTGAGGATGGCTTTGCTAATTTGTGAAAGTTGCATATCTGTCTCCTTAGATAGAAGAGTACCAGGAGAGGGGCTTCTTTGAACACTTATTAGTCCGAAGTTCACACAACTTGATGTGTGAAGCAATCATGCTGGGAACTTTCAAGCATGAGAGAGTTCAAGGAGAAGTAAGAATCCCATTACTGACCAATGAGAACACTCAAGTTAAGGAAAACATATGCAGACAATTCCTAAGTCCAAGCATTTCCCCATATGTGAAAGCAAAAGTAGCACAGGCTCTTTGGTAATTAATTGGAGGCAACAGAAATAAATAATACCAGCACTATTTGTGCAAGTATAGATTTGCTTTGCTCATTCCAAGGATGAGTGTTTTTAAAAATGAAGCAAAAGGGAAGAAAGCCCTGAACTCAGTGAACAGAGATGTGGGGAGTTAAAGTGAGCAGAGATGGAGCCAAATGGTGTTAGTTTCCTAAGACAGACAGACAGACAGACAGACAGACAGACAGACACACACACACACACACACACACACACACACACACACACACACACACGCCAAACCAGAAATCATGTCAACAAACTGGCAGGAAAGTAGAAGGTAGTGGAAAAACAAATGACTTTGGACCACTGAGACTTTGCCCTGACAAACAGGGTTTTGCAAGCTCTAAGTTTAAGCCTAACCACCTTGTGAGTCTAACCAGCTGACCTTTCTTCATCATTCCTAACAAAAAGACACACAGGGCACTCAAAAAGCATAGAGAAGAGTTGATTTTCCATCACCCTGTCCTGTCCAATGGTTCCTGTGCTCTCTCCTTTAAGATCCCAGTAGCTCAACGCTTAGGGGCAATAGTCTTCTTTTGTGAAATCTCATCAAGCTTAAACAGAACACTCGACGTGGTCATTTTCCAAACACAGCCCTTTATTTGCCATTTTACTCAGCGCTTTATGATTTTATTCTTGTAATAATTCCAATTTGACAGAGTGGGTAGAAATGTAGAGATGTTTATATGATTTAGTAATGCACTCCTATGTTTAGGGATGGAACAAAGTTTGAGAACAATTGCGAACTGGGATTAAAGTGAATAGGTAGAATTCACACATGACTTGGAAATAAAGAAAAAGAATAATGATTTTTATTTCGCGCTAGTCCTTGGGACTTGAACTAAGGTTCTGTGCTCTGTCCTTTGCCTTTTATTTTGCTCAAGGCTTGCACATTACCAATTGAACCACAGCTCCACTTCTGGCTTTCTGATGTTAAAAGTTAATTGAAGATGATAGTCTCATGGACTTTCCTTCCCAGGCTGGCTTCAAACTATGATCTTCGTATCTTAGCCTCCTGAGTAGCTAAGATTACAGGCATGAGCTACTGGCATCTAGCTTCAGTTATACTCTTTGAAAATGCTGATATAGATCAAGAAACCCAGCCAATGGGGAGTTAAGAAACTTGCTCAATATTGTACAGTGTCTACATATCAGAGTCAGGCTTTACATGCATAGAAACTTAATCAGAAAGGATAGTCACGCATTCTTTAGAGACTAGATTAGGGGGACTTGTTGGAATTCTGGGTGTGATAAGAATAGAAACAAATATTCCTAAAATTAAAAAAATTAAATGATAGTAAAGCTAATTCCAGAAAGTGGCATCTCTATTCTATGAGGCCTATTATTTCTTGAAAATAGAGAATGGAAACTGGATGAAACAACAGGACTAGAGCTCTAGCCATTAACGCCTATCTGCCTGTTATGTCCTCCAGCTCTTCTCACTCTGTTATGTTTCCTGACCCTCTCTTTAGGCTGAGATACTTGCCAAGATGTTCCCTTTGCAAGGCCCACAGGCGCTGCAGAGGCTAGAGAAATCCCTAAGGAAGAGCCTCCCTGAGTCCTTGAAGGTAAGGTCATTCTCAAGGACAAAGGATTGATGATCTATCTGCTGCCCACAAAACAGCAGTGAATGAGCAAGAAGATCTGCTGACGGCTCTTCTGTGCCGGGCCCTCATTTTGTAGACTCTGGCTTAGTTGACATCAGCCCAGTGGAAGGCAGATATGTTGCACCCATGTAATTGATGAAGAAATGGGGGCTTGTTTGTATTGCTTGAGCAAACCTGTATTGATGGTGACTGGCAAAGTGATTCCTTGAATCTAGTAGGATCTTTGCTGCATCATGACTGAAAGACACTCCTTATATTCTTCCTAGAATTATGTGATAGAACACAGGAGGTTTTCCAAAGTTGCAAAGTTAACTAAAATGAATACATGAATGTTTGTTTTCCTAAATAGTCACATGTCTGGTTAAGAGGTTGGCCGCGTGACTCTTCCTTGGTCCTAGTAGTAAGGAATGTTTGTTGATTCTTCAATGATTATGTGTAACTTGGGGTAAGTAATTTCTTTTAGAATAGTCTAGTAGTATTATCTTTGGAAGTTTTATTTCATATTCTAAGGAAAGTAGAATATTGCCAAATATAATACCTTTGTATCATATTAAGTAGACAGATGAGTATTTATTAGATAAAGATATTAATTTACCCCAAAGACTTAAAGGCTGCTGTACTTTATCCTCATAACAACAAAGGATTAAAATACATGAGACTAGAGATGAATTAAATGAAAGGAAAAAAATAGATAAGCCCACAAGGATTATTAAAAGCTTCAACACTCTTATAGAATAGTTGAAAACATGTAGCATACAGAAGACTTAAACAATATAGGAGCCAAGTCAAACAAATTGACATTTAAAATATAATCATCTCACCAATAATAGAATACATATTATATTCAAATGTTTGTACATTTTGACCAAGATAGACTAATTTGAGTTTTTGTAAACATTACCAACTACAGTGAAATAAACCATGCTTCAAAGTCATAAAGTTAGAATATATCAGTTTAATGAAAAGAATATTTAACATATCTAGATTTGTGAAGTGAAATGGATAAATGAGGAATATATCATTAACTGCTTATATGAATAAAACTTTGCTTTGTGCTCATAGCTCCTGTTTATAATGCTAGTTACTCAGGAGGCTGAGATCTGAGGATCATGGTTTGAAGCCAGCCTAGGCAGCAAAGTTTGTGAGACTCTTCTCTCCAATTAACCACCAAAAAGCAGAAGAGGAGCTGTGGCTCAAGAGGTTAGAGGGCTAGTCTTAAGGAAAAAAAGCACAGGGACAGCAGGTAGGTCTTGAGTTCAAGCCCCAGGACAGGCACAAGAAAAGTGAGAGAGAAAAAAATTTTAAAAAGCGATTTTAGCCAGCTATCAGTGTCTTATGTCTGTAATCCTAGCTATTCAGGAGACTGAGACCTGAGGATCACAGTTCAAAGCCAGTCTAGGAAGGAAAGTCTGTGAGACTTTGTTCCAATAAACTTCAGAAAAGGCCAGAGGTGGTGTTGTGGCTCGTAGTGGTAGAGCACTAGCCTTGAGCAAAAGAGCTGAGGGACAGCTATGTGTGTGTGTGTGAGGGGGGATAATTATGGATGTGGGAGGGAAGGGATGGTAGGGGAAAAACAAAGGAGGAGGCAACAATGCTTGATAAGAAATGTACTCATTCCCTTGCTCATGTAACTGTAACCCCTCTGTACAGTATATTTATAATTAAAAAAACATTAAAAAAAAGAGCTGAGGGAAAGGGCCAGGCCCTGAGTTCAAGCCCTACCACCGAGAGAGCAAAAAGAAGGAAAAGAAATTTTAGTTTCTTTATTTAAAACTAGGGGAAGATGAGTAAAGTTTAGCAAGGAGAATAAAAGAAATCCAGGAATTTTGAAGAGAGAGAGAAACAGGAAAGAATACTCCACCCCATAACCAAGAGACCCTCTCCAGCTAGGAGGGGCTCATTGTTTCCTGTTTCTCTTAGGGTCACTGGAGTTTGAAGAGATGCTGCTGGATAAAGTTACACAGGTTGCCTACTGTGTGATTTTGGTAGTGTGCTTTCTGTCCTTATCAGATGGGTGGGAAATGACTTTTACAGACAGCAATTTAGATATATGATAACAGGAAATTATTTTAGGAGTCAGGTGGCTTTGACACAGAAATGATCCTAGAATTTGTCATTGTAGACATGTTTTTTATTTAAACTAAGGAAAAATGTTCCTTGAAGAATTAAAGTATCTAAGGATATTGAAATAATCTGAAGAGAGAAGTAAGGAAATTAAATTATAGGTTTTAAAGAATATGATAAATATTATTCAGGGTTGAGAATTTAGTTCAGTGGAAGACTGTTTGCCTAGCAAAGACAAGGGCCACACACACACACACACACACACACACACACACACACACCCCAATCCTGAAGCCTGATGACATAGGTTTGTATTTGTTGATGTGGAAATAAGCCTACATACAGTTTATTTTGAAAAATAGATTTTTTTTTATAGTGAGAATACCAAACAGACGAGTTACAATTACATGGGCAAGATAACGAGAACATTTCTTATCAAGCATTGTTGCCTCCTCTTTGTTTCCCCTTCCCATCCCTTCCCATACTCCTCCCCTCCACCCACCCGGTCCTCCCCCATCCCCCACCAAAGTTGTTAAGTATTCAATTTTTTTTGTTTTTGTTTTCTTTTCATGCAATTGTTTCTAACATATTTATAAGATGATTTCTATGTTGCTTTGTATGTCCATCCCCCACAGTATCACCCCTGCTTTCACTGTATTAGATGTTGGTATAATTTGTGGAGGGGAAGGGAAAAAAAAAAACAAATCGTTTAACTAGGGATATAGGTGGACCCATTGCAACAATGAGATGTACAAGTCGTTATGTTGAAAAATAGATTTTAAGCTAGTGTTTACTAGGTATATGTCAATACTCAGAAGCAAATGAGAAGGCATGAAAGTTAATTCTGTACTATAAGAGTGAGTGATTATTTTAGTTACCTGGATATTTAGCTTTATACATGTATACACAGATATGATATATACATACATGAACATGTATATATGTTACATGCATACTATATATGTGTATATTATATATTATGCATGCTATATATGTATATTATATAAATGTATATTTATAATATGTATGTACATGTGCCATGTATACATACACACATATATTATATATGTATGGATATACATATATATATGGTATTCTCATGACTTCATCAAAAACTCTATTTGTGCTGAGGACTAGAAAACAACCTGAAAATGGAGTTAAATACCCCATCAGTAACTCATCATGATTCTCACAGAAGCAAGCCTCTTTCTGGTAAAGAAAAAAAATAAATAAGAAAGAACCAGGCACTTTCCTGTTCCTGTGTTGTGTGTTGATCTCCCACTGTGTTGCAACATTACAGGTGTATAGTACCATCTTCCTCATGAACCAGGGAAACCCATTCAAGTTAAAGGCCCTGGTGGACAAGTGGCCTGATTACAATACCGTGGTTGTTCGTCCTCAGGAGCAGGTCAGTGGTGAGATGTGGAATGAATTTGACCCTGTGTTTGTATTTGCTGTTTGTGTACCATGAACCTGGACATATGCCAGACTTCAGGGAAACAGAGCTGAAGCCCAGCTATGCTGACATGCACCTGTCCTGCAGGAAAACACAGTGAGCAGATGCATTCCAACGTGATGTGCACATGTGCCAGAGCATGCAAAATATTGGCTTTTGTTTTATGAAGTTGTTCTTGGCTGGGTGCATGGCTCAAGTGATAGAGTGCTTCCTTGGCAAGCATGAGGATCTGAGTTCAAATCTCAGAACCACCAAAAAAAGAAGAAGAAGGCAATTGACATTGATGATTATTCTTGAAGATACAGAAAAGGACACTAGCTGAGAGATGACTAAAATTAGAATCTCAGAGGGTATGGGAAGATGATGGGAGAGCTGTTCGAGTAGACATGTCACTCAAATTGATTTTGATGTTCAGTAGGTCTGAGAGGCTGCAAAGAGCAAGAGACACATTCCAAGTAGAGGAAATAAGGCCTGCAGTTGCATATAGGCAAATATGAAGAGTGTTAGAGAAATAGAGAAAAAATTACAATAGGTACACTTGAGTGTGTGTCGTTATTATTAGACTTCTGAATAACATTCAAAGTGAATGCAGCACAAATAAAAATATGTTTCATACACATTAAAAATATAAAGTACATTCAAAATACATAAAGGTTAGTTCTAAACATTATTTGGTATACAATATTGGCAAATGAAATGTAAATGTACAGTATTTTTAAAGCACAAGTGAATAGACAATCACTATTATTATGAATACATATGGAAATATAAACCATTAGAGGTAAAAATGGTGGTGGGTAAATCCTAGAAAACAACAGTATCTATCTGTGTATCTATCTGTCTATCTATGTAACTATATATCTATAGTTATCTATATCTGTAAACATGTATATATATATATACAAATGGATGTATATTACATGCATGCCATATATGTGTATATAATATATATATTTTAAATATACATATTGTAAAATGTATATTTGCAATATATATATAAATATGCAATATACACACGTATCATATATATATATATATATATATGATATTTTCCTGGCTTCATCCAAAATCAATTTGTTTTTGGGATGATAAAACAACTTGTATCTGTAGATAGAGAGAAATCTATAGATAGACAGACAGATAGATAACAAGATCAAAGCCATCTGGGCAGGAAAAGTTTGTCAGAGTCTTGTAACCAATTAAACACCAAAAAGTCAGAAATGGAGGTATAAGTTAAGTAGTAGGGCTTCAGCCTTGAGCAAAAAAGCCAAAGGACAACACCCAATCCCCCAAGTTCAAGTCCCAGTAGCACAAACAAAAGCATGCTAAATTTTCATAGTATTATTGTTGAGTTGGTGGTGAGGGAATCGAGTAGGTTGTTCAGGAAAATTTGAGTATAACAAAGCCAAGTCAACTTGACTTCACAGTGAACACAATTCAGGAGTGGAGATAAGATGTGAAAAATATGCATATTTAAGTTAGTACCACAGCAGAATAAGATGCAAAGAAATACTGAAATTCCTTGGTATAAGCAATTTGATGTTTTCCATGTCACCCATCCAACAGGAGATGAGAGACTACCTTGATAATTTCACCAACACCTACCAAATCTACTCCAAGGAGCCCAAGAGTTGTCATGAGTTCCTTGGTACATCAGATGTCATCAACTGGAAACAACATTTGCAGATTCAAAGTAAGGGGAGGGAGGTGTGTGGTTTGTTTACATCTATATGCATGGTCATTTTCCATGATGGCCTTCCTTCTACCAAACTAGCAAACTTCAGAATCTTAATCTAATGATCATTTCCTCTTGGTTATGCTGGCTTCATAGAATGAGTTTGGTAGTGAACTTTCGTTTCCAATCTCATTGAGGAGTTTGAGGGGTATTGGAGTTCCTTTGAAGGCCTTATAGAATTAATTCATCTGGTGAATTCTATCTGTGGATTCATCTAATCCTGGGCTGGAAGATCTCCATTTCATTTCTTAACATGGGTCTATTATTTGGTTTAAATCTTGTTTTGTGTGGGGACATCAGTATTTACTATCCTTTGATTTATTACACTGTGGTTTGGTTTCTTTCCATCTTTTCAGTGGACTAGATTGCAAAGGAACTGTGGGGGAAGGTAATTTCTTGTTGGCTGAAGAGCGGTGGTGTAGTCTGATCACAAGTTCAGAATGTCTTGAGATAGCTAGGTGTGGAACCAAAGTTTGTCCTCTGGGCTTCCATTCCTGGAATTAGAGTGACACCTTACTGTGCCCCCAAACACCTTGTAGGTCACCAGGGATGAACACTGGCTATAGTTCTGAGCATGCCCACTGTAGTCAGACTCCTGAGGGAGACATTCTTCCTCAGCTTCTTGCTTTGTGAGTTTTGGGCAAGTCACTCAATTTATCTAGTGCTCCATGTTTTTCCAATAAGGGCAGATAATTTGAAAAAACACACATAAAACAGAGGGTTAGTACAAGTGTGAAGTGGGGGTATATAATCATGTGCACACCCAAGGTCAACCATTATTGAAATTCCATTTCTCCTTGGGCTTCACAGACATATGGTGGATTTTCAGTATTCTATTTTATGTAAGAGGAACATGTCTTTGTCCACAGCTGTACCATTGGTGACAACACTAGAGGTAGGATGATCTGATGTTCATTTACGCATACTTGCATTGGGCCACAGAGTTTTTGGTCAAGTTTTTGAGCCACCATTCCACTTCCCACTTTTGGGGAGTAGTTCATAGGAGGTAAGAGCCTCATGGACTTTCTTGGTTGGCTTGGCTTTGAACCTCGAGTCTCATATTCAAGCTCTTGAGTAGCTAGGATTATAGGCATGAGCTGGTGGACTTGGCCACTTATATTTTTCTAATGTGCTTCCTTCCCCACTCTAATCCAGGTTCACAGTCCAGCCTGGAGGAAGTGATACAAAGTCTTGCAGTTGCTAATTTGTCCAGGGTGAAGAAAACACAACGCCTACTCTACATGATGCCTAAGACGGCACAGCGGCTGCTGCCATTCCTGGTGACCACTAAGAATTCCTGTGGTAACTCAGGCAGACCCAAGACCATGTGAGTTTAAAGATAACTCTCTACTAAAGCCACTGGAAGTGTTTATGACTCCCTCCTTGAGCGCATGCTCGCCTCCCTACCCAATGTTCGTCTTTTAGTATGTAACGTGGATCACATCATTTTCCAGGCTGATCCTTGCAGTATGTAGTGTGGATTATGTAATTCATCTGCTTAGAAGCCACCCATGATATTTTTTAATCTCACCTTGGATGAAATCCGTACTCTTTTATGGTCCCCATGAGATGAGAACCCATCACCTCTGCGGCTTCATCTTGTGTGTGTGTGTGTGTGTGTGTGTGTGTGTGTGTGTGTGTGGCACACACGTGGGCACGCAAGCATGTATCGGGGCTTGAACTCAAGGCCTCACACTCTTGTTTGGCTTTTTTTTTTCTCAAGTCTGGCATTGAACCACAGTTTTACTTCCACATTTCTGGTGGTTACTTGGAAATGAGTCTGACGGACTTTCCTGCTCAGGCTGGCTTTGAACTGTGAGCCTCTGATCTCAGCCTCCTGAGTAGCTAGGATCGCTTGTTTCTGCCTCTTGCTCTCTCCTGCCTGCAGCTTGGCCTTCCGGTTCCCTGGCTCTCACACATGCACACGCCTCTCTGTGACTAGATTTGCTCTATGCTTGCCTAAAATGTCCTTTCTTCTGGTCTCCACCTGTTTGCCCTTTTGTTTTGCCACTCATACTCTCCAATTTCCTATCCTCTGACAGTTCTTTGCAGAGTGCTAAAACCAGCCACAATTGAATTCTTTGTTATAAAACCTAATTTTAATTTTCTTCATTGCACCCAAAGTGGTTATTTTAGTATGCATCTACCTGTTTGTTTGGGATTTTTTTGGAGTCTTCTTGCTAACTTTAAAGTATTTAATAGTAGGGATCCTCTTTCCATTATCTCCTGAGGGGTCCCCAATAACCAGAAGCATGCCTGGCATGTAGTAGGCTCTTTAGAAACACACATTGCACAGAGGAAACACTTTCCAAAAAAGATCAGTTAAGCAAATTGCGTATTTCTCTTCATCCATTTTTAGTGAGTAGAGCTGGAAACATTACTGGAATTTGATCTGTAGAGGCTCAGTCCCCTGACCTTCTCTGTGTTAATGTGTACAGAACAGCTTTATATTCCCAGTGTGAAGTGCCTTGGAACCCAAGAGCATCTCCTGCTGAGACTCTCTTGAATTCACAATCCATTTAATTCACCTTGAGATAATCAGGGTAGGAGACATTTCTTCTGTTTCCTTAGAAAAAACATATTCTGAGGATGGAGTGGTTTGAACACCATGCAGTCATTGAAGGATAGAACTGGGGTTTCAGTCTAGGTTCTCTAGTTCTATATCCTGAGCTCTTTTTAGAATCCTTCCTGAGAGCCATTTATGTGCTTCAAGGATCTTCACATCTCATCAGCTCTTCATCCCGTTGATATCATATCAACTTTCCCATGTCTTCACAAGTATCCAAAGATCCTGTATACCAGCACTTCCCAGTCCGTGATTCTACAATCTGGATTTACTGCTTGCTAGTGAGCACTTTGGGACATTTATTTATTTTCTGTTTACTAAGTTTTCTCATGTATTCAGTGAGCAAGACAGAACATGTCTCATTTATGTGGAGGGTCACAGCAATGTGAAAAAGAACAGTACTGACTTTGTGGAATATCTCTACAATCTTCTGTACTCGTAACAGAGTCATTCTTTAACATTCATTTCTGTCTTGACCAAAGTATCATTCATATATTCCAACTTGTGTGAGAAGAAATGGAAGCAGAGAGACATCATCCAATAGCGCATACTTATGAATCTCACCTGAATGTAGAGAGTACGGTACCATGACTTCTGTTCCTACTTACTTACTGTCAATGGAATTTGGGGGGGGGATAAATGGAATGCTTCACAGTGTACCTAATGTTTTGTACTGTTTCCCCTATTTTTCTCCATAGTAACAAAAAGCTGTTTAAACTTGCGTTACTGGATGTTAGCCATGCGGCCTTGGTGGATCAATTCTGGGCTTTTGGTGGCAATGAGAGGAGCCAGAGATTCATCAAGCGCTGTATCCAGACCTTCCCGTCTACCTGCGTTGTTGGACCTGAGGGCACTCCTGTGTCCTGGGCCCTGATGGACCAGACTGGAGAGATCCGAATGGGTGGCACTGTGCCCAAGTACCGGGCCCAAGGCCTCAGCTCCTATGTCCTTTATATCCAGGGGTGGGCTCTGGAAACACTTGGCTTCCCTGCATATAACAATACATCCAGTTCCAACAAAATTGTGCAGAAAATGTGTGAAACTCTGCAGCATCTTCCCGTGCCGTGTGATTGGAATCAGTGGAACTGTGAGCCTCTATGATTGATTGGACTCAGTGGAACTGCGGCTCTAAACACTCAAGGCTGAGTGAGGTGGGCTGTGAGGTGGCTGGTGTCTCAGAGAAGTGGACAAAGAGAGACCAAACTGTAGTGAGTAGTATCGCACTCATGGCTGAGTTTTTAGGAAGTAGAACAGATGGCTAACGGGACAGCCATGGGCCCTGATTCATATTACCTCATATTCAGAAGACCTGGCATTGCCAGAACTCTATATGCTTAGCACTTCCTTGTTCAGTTTCCTACACTTATTGAAAAAAAATTTTTTTGGTGCCAGTCCTGGGGCTGTCCCTGAGGATTTTTGTGCTCAAGATTGGCACTCTACCCTGTGAGCACAGCTCCCCTTTCTGGCTTTTTAGTGGTTTTTGGAGATAAGAGTCTTCTGGACTTCTCCTGCCTGAGCTAGCTTCAAACTATCATCCTTAAGATCTCAGCCTCCTGAGAAGCTAGGCTTGCTGGTGTGAGCCACCATCGCCTGGCTTTCAGTGTCCCTTTGGATTCTGTAGCATCTACCTGAACGCTTCTTCACGAGCTCCTGTTTCACATGTGAATTATTGCCCATCGTCAGCTCTTCCCAGTTTTGCCAAGAAGTGGTATATTTTGTAAATGGCATAAGTTTTTCCTCTCTCTTCTTTCTTAATGTAGAGGCCAAGTGTGTCCTATTTCTTTCTTTTATTTTTTTTGTGTCCTATTTTTTTTTTTTTTGGTCCAGTTGTGGGGCCTGAACTCTGGGCCTGGGCACTGTTCCTCAGCTCTTCAGCTCAAGGCTAGCGCTCTACCACTTGAGCCACAGCGCCACTTCTGGCTTTTTTCTTTTTGCTTATGTGGTGCTGAGGAATCGAACCCAGGGCCTCATGCATGCAAGGCAAGCGCTCTACCGCTGAGCCACCTTCCCAGCCCTGTGTCCTATTTCTTAAGTAGGTGTTTTTTTAAGTGTGTTCCTTGGCAGCTCTTTGAACTGTTTAATAACCATGCTAAATATGGCTTATCTAAATAAATATTGCCTACCACAGGATAGTAGTTGGATGTGATCCTTGTGAGTCTTACTTTTAACTAACTCTTACTGTGTGTATTGAATGTCTCCAAAAAAGTGGCTTGGGGGTACATACAGATTGATTATTGTAAAACAAATGAAAAGACACATTATCTGACACACTTGCTCAATTGTTCTGTTTGTGCAAGAAGATCTGCTGAAATCTCATTCAGCATGGATCTTACGTGCAGTGCAATTCAAATCCAGTGCATCTCTGGATATGTTCATCTAGTTACCCTGTCCCCCCCCATTTTCGTTTGACTGCCTTCACCTAAAATCCTTTGTCCTTTCCCTACAATTGGGAGGCCAGGCCAGGCCTGGCCATAATTGCTACTCCCTCCCCTTTCCCAAAACCACAGGTATCTCTAGCCTCCAGCTACATGAGTAGAATGCTGTTTGTCCAGGCCTGACCACAGCTCCTGACCTGCTTGCCCTAGCTATGGGCTACCTCTGCATCCAGCTGTGCCCCCCCCTGCTTCCAGCAGACTCCTCCCTTTAGCCCCTTGACCATAATAGATACCTCCTTCCCCGGATAGGCTGCTACTCTGTAGCCTCAGTCCCTTGCTGACATTAAAAACTCCACTCTCTGTAGGTGACTGTGTGTCTGCCTGGTTCTCTGAGTAGTGCTTTTGCATGCCACTGTTCATCTTACCATGTCAGATGCTCTGATAGCCTGATTACACATCCCTCCCAACCCTGCTGTCTACTGTTTCAAAATTATTTTAGACCCCACATATGTGTGCTCATACAATGTGTGTGTGTGTTGGGGGGGGGTGGTTTCACTTAGTGTAACACCTGTCAGGCAGGATCTTGTTTCTTCTTTAGAGTTGAATAATACCCCAATGCATGCACATACCAAGCCATAGTTTCTTCATCTATTTGTTAACAGACACTTCGGTTGTTTCAATATAGCTAGAGATATCTTTTTTTTTTTTCATTTTCTCCTGCTTTTCCCCCCTGCAGACCTCTCTACCTCCAAAGTTGTAAAGTTCATTTCCAACATAGTGTATAGTGAGTATCACTGTTGAATTGGTTCACTCAGACATTCTAGTGTGACTCCACTCACAGGGAGGCCACTGACACTTTGGAGTTGACTCTGACACAAACGTACTCAAATGATGCTCTCAACTAAAGAAGAGTCTTGCAAAAGTTGTTGCTCTCTCTGGGATGTAAGGAGACCATTCTAAGAAACCTACATTGGAGTATGGAGGTTATTTACCTTGTGGTTCAGAATTGGGTTTCCGGATGTATCATGAACAGCAACAACATCCACCCCTGAAGAGTTCACAGATTCTCCAGACCAAGAGTGAAGCGTGAGATGCAGAGGCCTCCTCCCTACAAACCCATGCCAGCCTTTTCTCCAGTGGCCAAGAGCATGCCTTGCCCGGGCTGGGCCTGAAGGCTGCACCTGTGTCATCATGGTGCTCGTGATGAGAGGGCGTGTGCGCCGCCAGCCTCTGCCATCTGCTGTGTCACCTGACAGAGCAGAAGGTGTATCAATCCTTACATTACCCTGTCAGGTTGCCGGTTAACCAATTGGAATCCCTCATAGCTAAACGTCATTTTCTCATTAGCGTCAGACTTTGGAGCAGTTATTTACCTTATTTTTTTCCAACTAGTTTCTTCATGCATTCATGGGGGAAAGTAAAAGTTTGGTCAACTGAAGCTAGGCCTGCAGGACCTTAGTCCCTGAGAGACTAGCAGCATAGGTGAGACAGACTGTGTTGTGTCATACGTGACACTCCATTGATAGATGACACTCACTCCATTTTGTGTGACTCGAGAGAGGTTCTTAACTGCTATACTCCGTTCTCTGAATAGTGATTCTAAAGAATGAAGTTTTGGGGAGCTGGGAATGTGACTTAGTGGTAGAGTGCTCGCCTAGCATGCGTGAAGCCTGGGATTTGATTCCTCAGCACCAAATAAACAATAAAAGCCAGAAGTGGCCCTGTGGCTCAAGTGGTAGAGTGCCAGCCTTGAGCAAAAGGAAGCTCAGGGACAGTGCCCAGGCCCTGAGTTCAAACCCCAGGACTGGCAAAGAAAAAAAAAGACTGTATTTGGGCCAGGTGTGGTTACTCACTCTCATTATAGGGATAATAATTATATGTAATGTATAAAATTATATTATAGTTATGTGTAATTACATATTTTAATATATATTATTTTATATAATATACATAATATACTAGATATTATAGCTACTCATAGGTGTGTACATAGCTATATATAATTATATATTGTAATGATATCTATTATATGTTATATTATATATATAATACATATTATTAGATATTGTAGCCCTACAGCTGTTGTGCTAAGTGAAATAAACCAGACACACATATACAAGCACACAAATGTTGTATGAGCTCACATATGTGGGCTCTAATATGTATTTAATATATTACTATATATTATAATTGTCTATAAATATGTGTAAATTATATAATTTATATATTGTATATATTATATATAAAATCTCAATTATAAACATACATAAAGTATCTGTTTATTGTGGAGGCACAATTGTTGACTTTGAAATCTCAAAGTATTTGGGGCAAAATAAGCCTAGGTTTAGCATTTCAGGTCAATCACTTCACTCCTTTTTATGACCTGAGCCAATAAAGATGGCAATGTGTACAATTGTGCAATGCATACTAAGACCTCGTGTGTGTAAATGTGTGTGTGTGTGTGAGAGAGAGAGGGTCCTGGAACTTGAACTCAGGGCCTTAGCCCTATCCTTTGTTCCAGGCTAGTGCCCTACCACTTGAGCCATAGCTCCAGGTCTGGCTTTCTGGTGGTTAACTAGAGATAAGAGTCTCAGTGGCTTTCCTGCATAGTCTGGCTTTGAATTGTGATCCTCAAATATCAGCCTCCTGCATAGCTAGGATTATAGGTGTGAACCACCAGCACTTGGCTACTCGGTCTTTGATATTATTCAGACTGTCTATGATCTTATGGAAAAGGGAATAAAAATGCTTCACTCTCTAGGTAATGAAGCTGGGTTCAGAGAAATGCCTATGATCAAACTGGTAGTAAGACTAGTAGAATCCAACTAACGTGAATTCAAGTGAGACAGTGGTCTAATTAGCATATCACCTCCTCCAGGCTCCTGAGTTAGTGTTTCTCAGACTAGTGTCTGTAAATATTAATGTTCACTTCATGAGATTGTGCTGATGGATAACATTTACTAATGGAAGACAAAAGGAATTTTGTTTGTAGTCAGGAAGCTGAGATGTGAGGATCTCAGTTCAAAGCCAGCCTGCACAGAGAGACTCTTATCTCCAATTAACCATCCAGAAGCCAAAAGTAGAGGTGTGGTTCAAGTGGTAGAGCACCAGTCTTGAGCCAAAAGTCCACGCGGGAACATAAGGCCCCAAGGTTAAGCACCAGTACAGGACAAAAATTTAAAAAATTGTATGCGCTTTAATGTTGAGGCTTATTTACCCTTTAGCATTTCAAGATGCTGTTTCTTTTGTTTTCTGGACCATATTATGTATCTTCTGGGTGTCAGCCATTGTTTATACTGTGATTCCCCTGTGCAATGCGCCATGCTTCCTCACATTGCTTTAAGCGTTTCTCTTTATATATATATTTTTCCCCAGTAGTTTCCTTATGGTGTGTCTAGGTGTGTGATTTGCTTCCTATTCCTTCAGCCTAGACATCACTAAATTCAGTCAAAGAAAATGATAGGATCTTAGTCTTTCTAAATCAGTAGTTTACAAATGGAGGGAGAAAGAAATCCCGTGCTGAACATCAGATAGGAAACATCACCAGCTCTTGCTTCTGCTGCAGCCACTTGAGGGAGGAGAGGGAGGAAACGGGGTGTTGGTTATAGAGATCCACCCCCCTCCCAGCTAACTCTTGGTCATCTGCTTTCACAGTTCAGAGTTGAGTAACGGTGGGGTCTTTGACAACAGAAAGCAGTGCAGCATTGAGTCTCAGCATGTTGTCCAGGTTGCCCGTTAACTGGTTAAAGTTATAATTGCATAGTGGACTTTGTTGGAATTTGGCACAGTTTAATGCGTAATTGAAGACTTGAATGTAACAGGTTTCCAGAACACCACAGATCAAAGAGTACCTTTATATACTAGCCTACTGCTAGGGTGTAGCTCATCTTCTGGAACATTCTTCTGCCTTTTGTCTTTAGAGATGTCTGCAGAGTCTGAATTAGGAGACGGCTTCTCAGGTGAGAATAAAGACTAGATGCTTTGGACCTGTCATCTCTTTGTCATCCTCTGGACTTAGGAAGAATCAAAATAATTCCTTTTTCGATGTAGGTAAGAATTTC